GTGCAAAAGTCTATGTACACCATACACGTATATTTTGTCGATATATACATAGCTAGTAAGTTCGTATCAGGTAGTAATGTTCATTTTTTTCTGTATTAATGCTTTTGTATAAGGCATTGTACAGTAAGGCCGATTTACGGCGTTTCGCCTTACGGCGTTCCGCTAATACGGGCGATGTCAAATTATGACCAGCAAAATTTTCTATAGGCAAGCGGTCTTTTAGTACGGCGCCCACCACCGGGTTTGTTTACATTTTCCAGATCACATCTATTATGTCGGTAGAAACCTGAATATGTAAGATAAAAGGGCACAAATGTAACTAATGTGATATTTTATCGTGGCAACGTTTCGCTCTCTAAAAGTTTTATCAAGCCATTATGGCATGACAATGCGCCCGTAGAGGGAAACGTTACCTCACTTAAATGTTATATTAGTTGCACTTGTGTTCTTCTACCTAACAACGTTCATGAACGGCTGATGCAGAATCATGAGACCAGGGCAACGAATTTTAACTATCTCCCAATAGAGTACCATACTTGTTAGTGGCGAGTTCCCGAGCCAGTCTTCCAATTTCCTCACACCGTAAAGTTTGTGTTGTAGTTTACCTGATGTCGGCAGGTAACTCATTTTTTTAAGTGGTGATAGTACATTGGCTTATTAACAAGCTCACAGGACCCCTCTGACGACCAAATTGAAGCGTCAACATTGTAGTACGTACTATTTGCTCACTTTTCCTTCTCATCCTTTTTTTTATATTTTCAAGACGGTGTGGCTACAACACTCGCCAAATTGTGTTGGTTAGTGAATATCGAGTAGGATGGTTATACAGCATCTTCACCTTCACACACACTACACACACACTCATATACTCGTAGAAATAATCAGCTTGTTCATTTCGTCTTGCACAGTTAAGGGGAAAACCCTTTGTGGTCGCGGCAGATATATATGTCCTGCTGTGGAGCGTAGAGATAATGGTTCTTATGTGGGATAGCGATGAAGAATTTTCTTGTGGCGAGTGGTTCAGCTATGTTAAAGAAGCCGTTGTCAATAAAGGAACACATATAACTGCATATGTTTGTATATTCCATTGTGGTCGGTATTTATACCATTTATTTCCATGCAAACAAACCACAAAATAAGGCGAATAACTTACGCTGCAGTGGTGCGGTGACAGTTGCCAGCTGCTGATGATGGAGTCGTCGTACGTAGGCCTTAAATCCTAATTTTTGAGATCCTTCACCCGTGATGTTTATAAACCATATATTCTCATACACACCGTTTCCTCACGCAATTCACTCTTCACTGATGATAGTATACACTTCACATTATATACACTTCACTTTATATGATATGGCTCACAGCTTTGTCGTGACTCACTTCTTCGGCCTACCGCTGCCAATGTGGCATTCACCTAGAAAGACCCTTTCCCGTAATTTCCTGCCTCACACCACACCAAGTATAAATGCTTACTTCCTCTGGCTCCTTAGGTTCCTCTACCCTCCCACTAAAGAACTAATAAAAAATTTTCGGATGTATTAAGCAGTCTGGGCTTCTCAGATATGCAGATATGGTCAGCGTTAAAAGTCGTTAATATCTGTTCTATATACAAGTATTTTTACTACCACTCCACCCTACACCTCGACATACACTCCCCCCGTTCACTGAACCTTTCAGTTTACAGTACGCAGTTGTTTTTTTGCATCATTTATGAAAAAAAATGCGTCTATTAAACCGCAAAATACGGTAATTCAACTGTATTTGATAAATATATTATTCTAGGTTAACCTAGCTCTAGGTCCATGAGCAATTACACGATCTGCAAGAACAGGTGGATGCAGGTCAATCGATAAAGTCACCTTCGTAATGTAATCCCACAGCTCAGGTTTCACGAAACTCCCACGAGATTATAAACAAATCCCCTGGTCTGTGGAGCTTTAGGACACGCCTGCATGGTTCAAACCCCACCCGTTCTGGATTTATTTATATGACTCATTTCCTCCTTCTTACTTATCAACTGTCGGAATTGTATACCATTATCAAATATATACTGAAGGATGGACCGTGTGAAACACGTGTCTAATTATGGCTAAAAATTATTAATGATATCCTATCTACAAACTAAAACAAAACATTAATTAAAACCGAGCTGGCTAATGCATTTTCCACATTAGGCTAGACAATTAAAGTTAGTCTAATTAACTTTAATGTTTGTTACTGCAGCAACACAAAGTAACATCAAATGATGATTTCCGGGGCAGGCAGTGAGGTACGTACCGTTGCTGTTAAAGTGCTGTAACCATGGACAAATAAACAAATGCAGTATAATCTATCGCTTATTGACTACGTTTTCGCTCACACAGTGGGCTTTCATCAAGTCACAAAAGATCTACTAAGGTAAAGAGTACAAAAGTATATATAAGGTGGAAGTAGGTGGAGAATGAGTTGGGTAGGTTTGAGACGGACCTGCACGGGACGGGCAAAGTGTGTGTATGTTGTAGAAGCCGTTGTTCTGACTGAAATTGTTAGATATATCAGATAAGTGATGATTCCCATATCATGGACACATTGGGCTTCCTCCCTGGCCATGAGTCTAAGCGCTCTATTTGATTAAATGGTCGTGAAAGCTCATTTGAACGCCGCCGTTCCTTAAAATCGTCCTCCTGACTGCGTGTTGTTCTAGAAATACGTGTTTGAGTTACTGGATGTTTTACCCACTAATAATTACACGTCCTGCTTTCATATACACAGGCCTTTAACCTGGATGACTGGATGCCACCCCAACGAAATTGGGTTTTGTGTTCCCTCTTCCTGAATATTTCCATTCAGACTCACGAAACCGTAATAACACTGTTGCAAACAAACCACACTGGTTAAGACTCGCCTCCCTCGTGTTTCAACCCCATCTTTTCTATGATTTATTTACTTTGGCTCTCTTACTTTCCTTCCAAGGACACCAATATCTCCAAACCATCCTTTGTCATCTCGCTTATAAATAGGCAGCCTCTGCTGACTGGACAACTGACGAGTGGGAGTAAAAACACGTATGCAGAGCAACGTTTATTCACACATTTCCATCAGGACTAACTTTACCAAGACTTTATAAAGAGCAATTCTGAGCACAAATAGACTTGCTCTGGCATTACGTTAATTATACTACTTAGCCCAGTAAACATGCAACTGTAAATAAACAGCTGCTGAACATTCCTATAAAATTGCACTAACCTCATCTTTCAGTTTTATAAGTAATCTTCAAATAAATTTTTTCTATACATATTATCGTGAAGGATTATTTCACACTGAGCATTCCTTCTCAAATATATATAATAAGTGTAGGTCCTAGAGTGATCCTTGGAGGGACTACCAATAACTTAACCTGACGTTTTAAACACACATACTGTGATGTTAAAAAATGTGGCACACTGGGTATCTTTATTGTTGAAACTTTTCGCCCACAAACTAGTAGGCTTCTTCAGTCAAATACAGAGGCAAGCAAGTGTGATAGTGAAATTAAGAGTAAAATCAGTTCCATCAACGTTGGAGAAAACACTAATATATTTGACTAAAGAAGCCTACTGTGTGGCAAACGTTTCAACAATAAAGATACCCAACTGTTTGCTCTCTACATATGTCTTAATTATCAACACAATGTGACACATGCCTCTAACTTCAGACCCCCCTTAACGAATTAACTGAAATTATGTACTCGGCTTTCCCATGACTTCCATTACGCACTTTCTATAACCCGCCGCCAACTCCACTAACAGCTATCGTATCCCCCAAACCCCCCATTCCATCGCCTGCACCTGTATCTACCAACGTAAATTTAGTGATTGTTTTAAAATATCTATATAATCGGCATATAATTAAGATACAAGACGATGTTTACGAAGCATTGTAACAGTAACGTTAGTAAATAACTGCTAAAAAGTAACACAAAAGCAGACTCTTTGACTCCACCTTGAGCATATAAGACGAGGATGATTTTCCCAGGACTTTTTTTTGGGGGGTATGGAGGGGGGGGGAATGGGCTTATAATCTGGAAAATACGGCAACAAAACTCAGACTTCAAGTATTTTTCATAATCAGAAAGATAACCTCCAGTTCATGCTACATTGTCTGCTTGTAAATAGTCTTATGGCTTGGCTAGTGTCAAACATTAACGTGTACGAATATTTAATAATCTGAGCCTTGATCTCCTTTACGTTTTCAAGTAGGATTTTCTTTGACCATTGCAACGCCTGTGTCATGTCCTAGAGCAGGGGTAAAGGGGGTATTCACACATAGAGATGTATCGATATGAAAATTTAGATATTTGCGATGTGATGAGGATGTCTTAACTATTTGCTGCTGCAAATGTAATATTTTGCGATGTGGATGTAAGAAAATGTGTGATGTTCAGCGATTAGGATGCGGATGCATAAGCGGTCATCTGTTTACAGTAAAGAGGGCGATGCAGATGCGGATGTTAAAAATTCTGCTGAAGTTGCCGCGGATTGCGGATATCGAACATCACTAATTCCACACCTCTTGGAGGTAATGAGACGCAAATACTGGGGTATGGGACACTATCCCAAATACACGACAGAACAGATCTGCTTCGGACTCTCGCCTCGTCAGGTCATAGCAGCTCTCCTTACTTGTTCAGTCTCCCTACGATCGCCCCGTTAGGGAGGGAACCTCTTACCATCTGCCACGATGTCTCATCGTGTGAGAATTAAGCCTCAATCGCTGTCGTTGACGACACCACGAAGCCAACTTGGCAACCTCACTCAACACGTTTCTTCACGCCAAAACTTCTCCAAGATTACTTGGACTGAAAGAAGCCTTCATCGTCACCTTTCCTCGATGATGCTGAAGCTTGACAAGTGCTTACACCTACAAGCCATGAAGACAGTTAGATGACCTGGTTTTTATACCATCTCCATGTCACCATACATGGCGTGCAAAACGCTCTGTGTTCATAAACGTCTTGACAGGCTAATCACTAACATGTCTATCAGAGGAAATTACGTCATCACTTGAAGACCTCAAAACTTGGGTCCAAGACTGACCTCGTTGTAAAGATCCCAACGCTTCCCGATGCTCAAGGTCACGTTTCTGGACGTTACCGATGGCGACAAGAGCACTGAGTCTGATGGCCTGGCCATCTCCTACTCTTCATCAACCCTCGACAGATTGAACCTGAACGATCACTTACATAAAACACCTTGTTGGACCTGTTTACTCGTATATCCACTCTACTGCTGATTGCCACGTGAAGAATAAGAAGTATATGTTCCACCTGTGGTCTGCATATCATGAACTTTCGTTCCTGCACTTCCACTGCTGCTCCCACCTGCATCAACTGTAAGAGTGATCACCATACTCTTGCAGCCGAAATGTATCCAGTACGCAAGGATATCCTCTCTAAAAAACTGAAAGAAGAAACTAAGAAGTCTACGGAAGATCACCTACTTATGCTGCTATAGGCTAACTTCAGACGACCACCACCAAGATCCTACAACCACTCAGCAGCCTCCACCACTCACAGCCTCTCCTCCAACAGACGATATTTTATTCTACAAAATTCTACTACTGCCTAATGTATGCACACATGCAAAATGCACTAACCACGGGTTGTTTTTTAAATACAGCTATGAATGAATTTCTTGCCCTCCAAACAATCTGCCATCATTCAACTGTCACTAGTCCTGCTTCAGCTGATGTTTTTGAAGATTTCTCCCAAAAATCGTGTTTCGAGGCAACCAGAGACTTGCAAGATTTGATTCTGCAGAAGCCACCTGCTCTACTTCGCAATCCCCCAATGAGAGACCACCACCTCCTCCAGGCCACGGCACCGTCCAAGAACCATTCAGAGCCTCACTGCCTAAACGTGCCTCTACCTTCCTCCACCAATAAGAAACCGCCTTCAACGCCAGCCACCACATCCATGAAGACACAAGCAACAAAACTGACCAATCATGGACTTCATTTTGTCGTTCACTCTAAGGATAAAACAACACTATAATACGATACGTGGAGTCTCTTTTCTTCACTACTCCTGAGTATCCTAAAGAATGGACACAACAGTGATCCCCTTCCTCCAGACGACGAATCAAGTTCGTCTGTAGACGCATACGTGCTCTCGTTCCACTTAGAGAAGTCATCAATCTTTTAATGCTCCAGAGATCCGAACCCTGACCGCAAATTTAGACTCATGACAAGGCCAATACTCGAAGTTTCACAGAACTCTTTCTAATGGACAGTAGCTTAACACACCTCAAGCCGACCACCACCAATACAACTTCATTCCTGCTTGCCTGCCTTCCTGTAACTCCCCCGCTCCTGCTGCATGCCTTGCTAACCTCTCCTGGTGAGCCCAAGTACGACATCAAACAAGCCTCTCCATCTACGCCTACCCGTACTTCGGTACCACATGTCCCAAAGTGGTTAGGCCACTTGCTGGTTTCCTCCTTTTTCCCTTCCCCTCTTTCCCATCCTTTTCAGTATTTGCCATCCTCCCATCCTTCTTCCTACCCATCTCACGACAGCTATGGTCGTCTTCCTGTCGTCTCGACACGATCTCTGCTTAGGTATCCATATGTAAAATAACAACTAAGCATTGAAAATGCTTTTGAAGTCATACTGGTACTTAATATGACTATGATTCCATAGTAGGATGAGATAATAAGGCCATAGGCAATCACCGGGGTCTAGAATAGCCACAAAGTTTAGTAACCCCTGGTGTAGTGGTGTCTAAAGTTAATTTTGAGAGCCACAGAATGGCTTCGCCGATTAATCCCTACCCAGTCCTCTCTCTTTCATGTGTGCTTGGGAGGGATCAATTTCCCTGTATGGAGAAATAGAAAAGTTGACAACGTTTTTCCTTACAAACATGGAAACAAGTATTCCCCAATAGGTGTAGTGTGACCGGCAACCAAGCCCCAGTAGAGTAGTTGACCTACACCCAGTTGATACATTAACTTCTTCTACGACAGACACATATTAACCACCCCCGAAAAAAATGCTGAAAAAAAAATTGGAGGCTAAGAATATGCCCAAAATAATGAGCTCAAACGGGCAAGAAAGTATGAAGATTCCTATCAAAAAAAGGGGATAACTGGTTACCTATGTTATCTCCTTTTAAAATAGTACAGACTATGTCTCCCGGTGTTGGGTAGCTTAATAATGATTGTAGATAATTGTATGTGAACGGCATCCATTAGCGACCAATATGATAGATTAGGATACATATGCGCAGCAATCTGGTATCTTTTAACGTAGACGTTTCGTCGGCCGTTCCACTGACTTTGTCAGTACAAATTCTAGGACATAATTTGAAGACAGTACAACTATAATACAAGAGATGAGTAATCAGTCCCGCCAGCCCAAGGCTGAGGACTGATTAACCTCGGTAAACAAAAAATGGAAAATAACCGTGGACCATAATTTAAAGGGGTGGACCGTAAGCCAGTGGAAGGCCTCGGTCAGATGACCAAAAGCTCCAACGGCAGGTCATCACTGGCTAACAATAACCACCCGCGTCAGGTAACATTTGTCTTGTTTCCTGACAAACTTTTCCTAACCTTAGCAAGGGTCACACTGTGACCAAAAAAATGTTCTTTTCATTTATAATTACTGCACAGCCTTAAACGTTATAGTTTACTAGATCAATGTATATTAAACGTTCGTTCAGTTCGGGTAGTACTTTATTGCTCTTAAACAAAAGTTATATAATAAACAATAAGACACCACTTACGAAAACGTTGAGAATCATTTTGTATCGTCAATATGTTAATTGTAGTATATGTAGAATCAATTGTAGAATGAATGGTTCAGAGAACCTGAACATGTTGATAAATAGACACATGTGGCAACTCTTTGGTAATCTTTATTGAGGAAACGTTTCGGCCACACAGTGCTTCATCAGTCCTAACGTAGGAGAAACTTGAGAACAAGGAAAAAAGGAGAATGAGGTAATCAGTCCCTCAACCTTGAGTCGGATGTGTTCAGTCCACAGTCCATCAAGATTGATGGACTGAACACATCGACTCAAGGTTGTGGGACTGATTACCTCATTTCTCCTCCTGTCTTCAAGTTTCTCCTACGTATGGACTGATGAAAGCCACTGTGTGGCAGAAACGAGTTTCCTCAATAAAGATACCCAAGAGTTGCACATGTTCTAATAATCATTTAATTACACACACAATACAGGTCCCAAACGTGTCGTAAGTTTGAAATTTCCTGTATTTTAATAGTCATTTGTTTCTACATTTTATTTCATTAAATATAGAGCATTTTAAACAAGTCAAATAAATGCAGCATATTTAGGGGCCCTCTACTGAGGTCTCTTTTCAGAAAGACTTCCTTCAATACTATTTCTCAATTTACCATCGAGTAAATTAAATAAATTGTACACAAAAAAAATTATGTGGATTATTTCTCATTTTATTTAAGAATATCAAATTATTTAATATACAAAGTTACAGCAATAAATATTACTATCCAAACTCACGAGAATCGTAAAAACAGTTTGCAAAAAAAAAAAAAAAAAAACATCAAATGGGTGGATTTGAACCCATGGGGACAGCAGACCCCTAAAACTCGCAGGCTATTGTCTTGTTCACTGGTCAATGGGGGAATAACGCACTGGCCCGAGAGTTTTTCAGGACTCGCTAGCCATGATTTGAGTCCCACCCGTTCTGTGATTTAAATTACTATAAAAAAATATGTGATATTTTAAACATAAACATAAGAATGGATGAACACTGCAGAAGGCCTAGCCTGGCCCATACAAAGTCAGGTCCCTTATGAAAAATGACCTCTACCCGAACTACCCAAGATTAAAACTCCCGTACAACAATGACACCAATCAAACCCAGCCCATCCCACTCATATATTTGTCTAGTCCGCTCTTCTTAAACTACCAGAGTTCCTAGCCTCGATGTTTTTCACCCTACTGGGAAGATTGTTCTATGTATCTTATTTTCATACGATATCTTGACGTATCACACCAACCTACACTATCTCTATATTCCTCAATAAGTGGACAATTAAACACAATGGTGATCAACAAAGTGACTATAAGGCTAACCACACACTCCATTTGGTTTGATAGTCTGTGTTTACTAAACGCCTGAAGTAATTGTACCAAGCCGAACCAGGCCACAAAAAAATCGGTCAGTCTGTTCTCGTTGTAGGTTACTCCATATCGTACATATCTACGTACATGTTATCATAATGGATTATTATATCTACTACTCAGCCTTCTGACAACATTCCAGTACATTGTTTCATTATTGCTTCTTTCCTAATGTTAGATACAGATACGACAGAGTTAATTTTTAACATTTCCTATATTTTTTGGCTAACTTATGAAATTGAATCATGAGGACTAATCGTGCCTGATGGAATCCATAACAATAGTACATTAATTCCCCTTTCTTTCATTTTTAAGCGTCTATATCTGGCTTTGCCAGTGAACAAGTTGTATGTCATCCTGGGAGTCAGGCCTTCAGTGACAGGACCAGTAATTATCAAAGAGCTAATCCAGTACTTCAGTGTACATTAGATGCAAATATTCAGTTTGCAGTGTAAGACGCCAACTGTATTTCTTATATTCTAACTCAACATAGTTTGTACGAATGGTATACAATACCGACAAGATGAGAGTAAGACACATGTGCAAACATCTGGGTATCTTTATTGTAGACGTTTCCGCCATCCAGTGGCTTTTATCCAATACAAATTCTAGGACATAACTTGAAGACAGTAAAACTATGTACAGAAGATGAGTAATCAGTCCCTCAACCTAGAGTAGGTGCGAACAGCACCATAGCAGTGGAATTCTGAAGCAGAATCTCCAACGCTATGGTGCCTTCGCACCTACTCCTAGGTTGAGGGACTGATTAACCTCATCTTCTGTACATTGTTCTACTGTCTTTCAAGTTATTGTCCTAGAAAATTGTATTGATAAAGCCACTGGATGGCGGAACGCTACAATAAAGATTACCCAGATGTTTGCCACAGTGTCTTACTCTTAACTCAACATAGTTCGTATCGTTCTTATTCTAAGGGCCGAGAACTACAAGTTAAAAATAAATAAATTTCATCCTCATCAAACAGTGTAAAGTATCTGCTTGCCTATTTT